ACAGTTCGTTCATTCATTGAAATATTTTCAGGTCCCATAGAAGACACCTTGGGCTATCCAACGATATCATTTTTTTCCATATACTAATGGATAAAAAATGAGTTATGAGATGGGAAAATTTGTTCTATACATTTTTGCTGGAGTGATCCGAATTACCCCAAGTAGATTGGCTTACTGATCCGAATTACCCCAAATGGGGTAATTCGGATCAGCACTTGTAGTCTTTTGCCATTTTAACTATAACTTTTTTCCAGTACAAGGTTTTTAAAAAATTCTTTCAGCATTAGAAAGAAAACAGTTTGTTCTAGTAGCACTCCAAAAATCACCTTGTTACGACGTACAATGATTGAGAGCGAATAAAAACAAAATCGATTTTCTAATTTTTGATCCGAATTACCCCTAACGAGTGTACATTACGGAACAATCGTTTGTATTTATGCATGGTGTTCCAATCAGAAATTCAAGAGTCATGCAACAATTCGATAATTATAGAACTCTCTTGAAATGCGTAACTGTCTGTTATTTGTATTTCATTGAAACTTAACACATTAGGTCCATCTTCATTCCCAAAATCAAGTATATCGATGATTCATCGTCAAAGACACAACATTCGTGTATCTCAAACGAGGTATTTCTCAATCCATGAAGAGAAATTATGATCAGCTTAGGAAATATTCATTAGCTACCGAAAACTTCATCTATTGTTTAATCAGATAATTGTACTTTACGGTTAAAACAAAAGAAACAGGTAACGCTGGTGGAACGGAAGAACAGTCTCTCGAAAATGATATTTACTGGTGTAAACTCTTTGAAACAGAAGTAATTGAACTTATATCTCGCAGAAAGAAACTGGGAAATGAAGTATCAAATATCAATGAGAAATTTTTTGTCGATCATTTGCTTTTATTTCGTTTAATTTCTCCTCAAAAATGAAGACTGCAGAAGAAAAGCATTTGCGGTCAAAGTTTCATCTTATCAAAATATCAGAGTAAAATTGTTTTGGCGTGAAAAATTCGACGATCGGATGAGATGTCAATAATCAAGTTATTTAGAAAAGTGTGATTTTATCTAAGTATTTAATTTATGAAAACCTGTTCTTGTTTATGCGATATGAAAATCAATTTTAGATCATTTTTCTAGTCAATCATTAGTAGAGAATAAATATGAACTTTGATATCCATTGGAGAAGTCTTGTAATCTCAATAGTTCAATTAGCGAGACTTTTTCTTAAAATGGAATCAAAATAATTATTCAATATCATTTTGTAGAAATAGTTTCTATTGAAATTGGCAATAAAATTTCAGAAAGTAAAATATGTTTTTATTTTCGATGAAAATCTGATTAAGTGTGTCAAAATGATAAGTTCCAAATAATATTTTGTTCAATCTTATTGAAGATTGTGTGTTTCTCGAAGTAACTATAATCTATGAATGAATTAATTTAGATTGATTAATGAAAAGAAAAAAGTAGGATTGAATGACGAAAAATGTTTTATGATCTACTTGAGAATTTCTTTTCTTCTACGATTGTAGTTAAAATGTACTCACAGTTTTGTTGTTGTTCTCGAATGTAAATCAGTTGATTCCAATCAATTTGATCATTATCAACAATAACGCTTTTAGTTTTATCTTTTTCAGTAAATTGTTGTAGTTTTTGTTGTAGCTCATTAATCTTTTGTCTAAGTCGATCAATATCATTTTCAACAAAATTTTCTTCTCGACAACAACAAATTTCTTCTGTAATCAGTTGAAGTTGTTTTGTTATTGTTATTCTTTGTTTATCGATTAATTCGATAAGTTCATGATGAGCTTTTTCGGCTGCTTTTTTCACTTTATTGATTGTTGTTTTTTTCCATTGTTCAATTTGATCAAAGAGATCGCGTGATAAATAATTTGATTTTTCTACTTTTTGTATTTGATCAAGAAGTTCATCATGTGATCTAACTATTTCATTGTCAAATTTTATTGATAATTGTTGTTCATGTTCTTTGAAATCCTTTGAGCAAAAATATTTTTTGCATCCAATGCAAAAGCATTTTGCTGAAGGTTTATTACAGATTGAACATAATTGTGATTTCTTTACTGTTGCCATGTACCTTAGAAGAAAATCACTTAAATTAAATAATCTATTATGAAAATAATATCTCAAATAATCTTGATCTAAAATGAATTCAGATGAATATTTCTATAGAAATAATTTTAAAAGATTGACTCAATACTGATTTAAGTATCACAAATAGGATTCCATCTTCGTAGTGAAAATACTCATCAAGCGACTACGACTATGTACGTCTCTATATTTTGTTATTTAATTTAATATCTAAATAAAATGGATGTAATATAACAATACTGAATAGAATATAAAGGCTTATAACTATTTTACATAAACCATTAGAGTACTTTTTGAGTATTGACTGGAGGAGTGCCGACTTCACTAGGACTATATGTAATCAAAACAAGATTATATAATCTTTCATTATAGTAGAAAGACCTTTTAAAAAAAATGCAATTGCATGTTGTGATAGTTCTTGAAATTTTGTATCATTTCATATATTTATATATTGTCTTGCGTTGATTTGTTAAAGAATAATTCAAGCATCACGAAGATCCTGCTGTTTGACAAATCGTTAATAATTCAATAATTTTATTCCAAAAAGTCAGGATGATAAAAAATATGAGGCATTATGAACATATAGAAATACTTGTCCAAAAATTGATGTCTTCATTGATAATAAACGTTGAATAAAAATGATTGTAATGGAAGAAAATCCAACTTTTTAAGGTTCGTCAAACAGCCGAAACTACATTATACTCAAAGTATTCTTCAGCATTCAAATACAGGACAAGACAATGGAGAACTTCAAGAACAATCAAAATCTGTATTTACTTTTATAAAAATTGATTCACTGGGTAATTGTAACTTGAAGAAAGCAGAAAAAAATAGCGGGTTCCGGCACTTCTCAACAGTGACAAAATCAAGTCTATATGAATCTACTATTAAAGATGCTTTGATTGCATTCAATTTATTTTCTAGTACATAAATCCACACTAACGTATAAAATGTAGATAATCAAGGAAAATTTCAAGCATTTTCAGAATATTTAATTATTCTATTTTAAGTATGATTTTAAAGGCGACCATATATTTGAAATAGATACTGCAACTATTTTTGTTCTGAGCATATACATATATCGATGATTCTTTTCTTCGTTTACTGTATTTTTTCTTATTTGAACATGTATTTACATGAAAAGCGATGAGAAATTCATGTGACTTCATTTGGGAACTTTGTGTCGAATCTACGATAATCTAAGAGTGTAGATGTGAGATGTGATTATTAATCTGAGGAGGGGCGCTGGTTGTGAGTAATATGAACATTAATACTCACATTTATTCTTAATGCAAAGAGTAGTTCCAGACTTACATCGGCTTTCTTACTGTTTTGAATTTGAGGATAGTTTGACTAGCCGTTTAGTTTAAGATATATAGATTGAAAAACAAAAGTTTATTGTTTCGTGTCTAAATATTCGAAAGTTTTGTTTACTATTTCACAATATTTTGATCATAGCGATGAAACACTCAATGTAGAGTACTGAGACTGGTATCGATTTTTTCAATTTAAAAGTCGATGTTGTCATCTTCAATCAAATCAAAGAAGATGAAAAAGTTTTGTTAGAAATATGTGATGGATTCAATCTATTTTATAATACAGAAAATGATTTTTACTTTCCAAATATTTTTTCATCTATATTATTGAAACAGAAGAAATCTCAGAGAGACCATGAAAACTAAAATTGTTTAATAAAAATGATAACTGCAGATGGGTTTCACTTTCATATTCAAAGATAAAATTAGGTGTTTTCAGTTATTGTAGAAATATCGTCGATTAATCTTGTTTTTCGTGAGAAAATTTTTTCATAAAAAAAAATGATTTTGATTTTAGAAACGCATAATTTAGCTGATTCAGGTCGAGCCAATTGATCAACTTTTGATAAGGTTATGAAATTCTATGAAGATGAACTATGAGAAGATTATTAATTGGATTTAATTTATCAACTACTTTAAGATAAGTGACAGAAGGAATATATTTGAGAATACTGATTGAAGGTGTACAAAAACTCATCATTCATCACGTTTCTTCTTTTCTTTGAAGATAATGGGGTCTGAGATCTTTGGAAATTCCTCATCAAATTGTTCGATGTTTAGTAAGTTTTTTATGGATTAGTAAAATGCAGTGTTTGATTCAGAATCACAAAAAAAAGTATTCTCACACATATTTGATTTCATTTTGTACAAATGAATCAATGTTCATTTATCTTTATTCAACCGATTCGCAGATTTGTCCTAATTCATTTTAGCAATTATTATAATTTTGTTTGATTTCTTCGTCAAGAATATTCTTTCTAATGGATGACATGCTTCTTTAAGAGATAATAAAGATTTTTTATCTAATGGCTAATCGATTTGAATATATACTTTAATTCACTATGAATATTAGTCTACAGACTCGACTATATTTAATCAAGTGTCAACTAACTTTTTTTAAGACATAATATTGATGAAAAAATATCAGAATCAATAATTTCTTTTTCTGTAATTGTGTTCGGCAAATATTATCATTTAATCTCGAGTTTTTCTCTATTCTTGTAAGGATAAAAGATTGTGTTGTTTGAATTGATTCAGTGATTAATAGCAACTCTCTGTTAAATACCTCATATTTGCTCAACACAATCATTTCAACTTAACTTTAAGTGAATTAAATGGTAAGTAGCAAAACTTAAACTTAAAATAAATTATTAAAGTGATTTCTTAACATTTAATATTAAGAAATCATCAATTGAAGACTGCTGGTATTCTATTACTAATATTAAGGATTACGAGCGTATCTTAACTTAATTTAAACCTAAGATAAATATTTCATCTCTAGAAAAGAAGATGATTAATGTTAATAATTTCACTTATTTATACACACAAATGTCTTACTCGTCATTCGCTTATTTATTTGTTTTGATGCTTTGTAGAAAAGGTCTGTCGTGGGAAGCAACGAGCTGTATAAAATCAAATGACACTCACTCTTGTTTTCTAGTCAAATGAAAAAGAAAGCAAAGAAAAAAGCTTGTTTGTGTCGAATAATGTATATGCAACTCAACATTTTCGTACCATTGTTTTTTTGTTTTTTTTTATGCTTGATTGGGTAGAGCACATGGAGTTATGTAGATAAAGCGACTCTTCGATTTTATAAGTAGTTTTTCTAAAAACAATTTTCAAAAAAATCTCGAGAATCAGATTGTATGAAAAAAAGAAACTAACTTTTCATATTACCGTGAATATAATAATCTTTTTCTTTGGACCAACTTTATGAATGTTTTTTCGCGTTTGGAACACATAATTGACAAGGCAAAAACCGAGTAATTTATTTGGACTGTTAAAATATTATGTAATTATGAAAAATTTTGAATCCTAGTGACTCCTAAGAAATGTTTTCATTAGAGCACTCAGGGGAATTAACTTTTTTTATTTTAAAAGCTTTTCCAATATAATTCTAAATAATCTGTTTCTCTAAAAACTTGTTAAACATAGATATCATTATAAAATACTTTTTATTGTGTAGCCCAGTCTTTACTTTACCTTTAGCTCGTTTTCATTCATTTCATCTGCGATTCTCCTCAGACGAAATTTCAATGAAAAATATTTCGTAATGAAATCTATGTTTTTCGATTCAGTTTCTAGCATTTATTGTTTTGTCGATGATATGGAAAAAATTGTTTTTCTTAACAAGGAATCAAAGCGAAATAAAAAAAGCCTGCTTAACATTTTTCAAAGAACTAAAATGTTTCGAATTACATGAGAAAAGTAGAGAAAGTTTTTAGATTGAAAGAGTTGATGCCTTGAGGAACCATGATGACAACATTTCTTAAGAATTTCTAGGATTCCAAACAACTTATAATTGCATCATATTTCAACTACCTCAATAAATGATTTTTTTTTCTGGTCAACTATGTGTCGCGAAATATTAAAAAAAAATCTACAGTTACAGAGAAGGAAAAGGAATTATTATATTCACGATTGCATGAAAAATCAACATATATTTTCGATATAACTCAATACTGTTTATTTAATCGTGTATTAGAAAGGCGAAAAAAAATAATGCGAAAGTTTTGAGTTTCTCGCATCTTACAACAAATGCTGGAAGACTTGTCTCTCCAAAGTAGAATTTTTTGACGATTCACTCACTGGAATTGAAAGCACTATTTGAAAGTGGTAGTGCAATGAAACGACCCGGCGGTGCGATAGGACTCATCAGATAGTTTCAAGGGTTTGGATAAAGACGAGAATTTTCTCTAATCTGAAGTATTTTGTTTGGTAGTCATTGATCAAAAGAACGATTATCGAGAAAATTTTCGATCTTAATCGACATGTACTTTCTTCAACATTCGTATTGATAACACGACAAGTTTGCATATTAAAGAATGAACTTGCTGTAATACCGAAATATTCCCTAAAGTCTTGTTCATCAAATAGGTCAATGATATTTTCCTTATTAATCGTTAACCATCGTTGGAGTTTTTGAGAAATGAAGAACTTGTAAACATTGAACTTCGTTTTTCCTCTTATATAGATGAAGTTTCAACATATATCGACTAAATATTCCGTCTATTCGAAATGAACATTTTTTTCAAAATATTTGTGATCAACTGTCAAATACAAGAATAACTTTGATTACCGCCAATCATTCATCTATACATCATATTCCACTTTCTTTGTTTGACTTCTTACAAACTCTCTTCGAATATGCATTCAAAAATGCCGATTTTATTTAGATTCTAATAGATGTGGGTTATGCAGTTCAGCAAGGTCATATGGGATAGAAATGTGAAACATTTCTAACAGTCAACTTCTACTCACCATGCAACAAGTATTACGTAAACTTGAACTAAAAATTATCTTTATCTCTCTCTCTGTTCTTGCCTCGCTACATCGACTGGATTCACAATTGTAACGTGAAAGAAAGATATTCCAGTACTTTCTCCTCGTCTCGCTTTCCACTTTTATCATCATGAAATGACAAATGCTGTGAGAGTTGAAAATTTTGATGTTCGTCACAATCATCTTACGCAATGTGCTTGAAGTTTAATTTAGTAGAAATTCTCATTATTATGAAATTATTTATTCATTTTGCAGTTCATGATAATCATTGTGATTTGGTGTCAACTAAATAATCTGCAATATTTCACCGTGCAATGATGAATCATTTCTCTGATATTCATTTGGATTTCTTTGCGTCATCAGATTTAACCAAACACAGAGAATCTCATCTTGATTGTGAAAAAAATCAATCGAACAACCTTTTTCCTCTTCAATGAATTTGTATTTAACTTTCATAGTTCATAAGAAAGGAATGCGGAAGCCACCATTTTCATTTCATCTGACCCTTATTGATCATCATCTTCTAGAGAAAACTTACAGATGGAATAGTGATCGAGAAAAATGTTGCTTTTATTCAAATATTTGACATTGACCTTAGTAATTCAATCAGATCTTCAAAGTTTTATCGCAATTCGTAGCGGTGAACGAATCATGTTGATCGACTGCTTCATTGCAACGAATGATCGGCATGAATTATTCAATACTCTTTCAATATCATCGATCAAATAAGATACGAGTCCTTTTCTAAATCTCGATGAAGCCTTCTCGAGATGCTGGGTAAACAAATTAAAGATATCTGACTAACAATCAAATAAAACAAGTCGTTCATCAAGTCACAATGTGATCCGGAATTCGATTTAGTGGTCAAGTAGCGTTCTCGTTTTCTTGATAAACGTTCGAAATGATATTTCTGCATCAGAGACTTTCATATTCACAACAACAATCTCGAGAATATGATCTCTTCTGTTCTTCATAACAATAAACATTTGTACAGGGTACATTTCACTTATGTCGATAATTTGAAGACTTTGACATGAAGAATTTCAATGTTTTCAAATGATAGAAAATAATAGAAAGCTTTGAAATATTCAAAACCCTGCAAAATCATCGTTCACTGCACACCAAATACTTCAACTAAATAGTTGATGGTTCAAAATTGAAATCATCGATTCTCTAATGATGAAAACAAAATGTTGTACTTTGATGACAATCCAGAACATTAAGATAATGTCAAAATATTCAAAATAGGATTCTTTGATAGAACATGACAGAAAATAATTTTTTTTCATGTGATTTATGACCATATGCTAGACGATACAAGATAATCCTATTCGAAACGACTTTATTGTTCGATTACTTCTTCAAGACTATGATGAGAACATTAAAACAAGCTTAATTTGTAATAATCATCAATTTCGATCGATGCTGAATTTTTGTACTCGATGGTTTCCATTCTCACTCACATAGAGATTACCCTCCCGATCAAACAACAAACCGATCGGGTTACCCAGTTGATTTGATTGACTTCCTTTACCATTTCCACCAACAATGATACTTTCTTGTGGATCTCCTTGAGACCACCGCATTATTCGATGATTGCAATTGTCAGCTATATAGATAGTACCTGATTGATCTACGGCGACTCCATAAGGATTTGATAATTGTGTAAGACTGTTTTCTGCACCTTGACCAGCAGCTACAACAATGCCTTGTTTGGCACCTTTCATCCACTTCATCACACGATGATTATTGAGATCTGATACATACACTGAATGATCTCGGTCGACAAATACGTATGTCGGATTAGATAACTGATCGAGACGATTTCCTGGTCCATTTCCACCTGCAACCACTTTTCCTTCACTTTCTCCTGTTTGATATTGTCTAACTTCATGTTTATCGGGATCAACAACATATAGAAACCCATCATTTTCCATTGCTAAACCCCAACAACCAATATTTGAGATGATCGTTTCTCCATTTGTACCATTTTGACGAGGCCATCGAACTATTCTCTTATTGTTAGAATCACAAATGATGAGACTATCTCGTTCTTTATCAATAATCACATCTCTGGGATAGTTCAATTGATCAGGACGGTTTCCACCTCCATTTCCACCTGCCACAACTCGACCAGCCACTGCACCACATTTCCATTCCAGAATTCGATGATTTACACAATCAGCAGTGTAGACAGTTTGATCCTCATCAATACACAAACCCCATGGATAGTTGAGTTGATTCATTTTACTACCATATCCATTTCCTCCAGCAACAGTGACCCCATTCTGTATCCACTTTGCATTAGCATTCAGATTTGCATTGCGTAGAAATGGTACTGAAACGAAACATAACTTCGCTCGTTCATATTGAATCACTGTACGTTAATAAAAATCAATATTCGAAGTAGAGAACTTTGCTTGAGAAAGTGAGAGAAAGAACCGTTTTCCTCAATTTTCACGTGAAACAATACCTTGATAAGTAATCTCATATTATTTTAATATTTCATATGGAGAAAAGTTTGAGAGTTTCTATTGAATTAATAACTAACATTCGAATGTTCGAGTTTAAACGCAAAATATTTTTTCATCTCATCATCATAAAAAGACTTTTCGTCTTTCAGAAAAGTTTCAATAACAAAATATCATTAATGATCATCACAATGAGAGAATCAAACTTGACAATGTCGGGTTTTTCAAATAAGCAGACGATTGAAATGATTATTGAGTTCCGATCGAAATTGATCCAATTCAACTTTCCTCTTCAACTATTTTTCAAAGACAATCAATAGAATCTTGTCAACATTCTCGTGGAAATGAAATTCCTATTGAGAACTATTGGTATGATTTCAATAGTAAAATACAACATTTGTTTTTGAAGAATAACAATTGACACTTTAATAAACACTTGAGAAAGTTTCATGCAATCTGATTTTCATAAAATCAATCAGATCAACATTCGGAATGTGAGTAAATATTTATCAAGAACTAACTTATCTATTTTTTATCATTCCAAATCTCATAGATGCGAGAAAAGTTTGAAAATATTTGAAAAGAATATTTATTTTTAAAAAAATCAGAATCAGCGACTCATGCAATAAGAAAAAAGCTTACGACAAAGTCTTAAAACAATTCATTTTTTTTTTAGTTTTCACTGTATGTCAATCAGGAGAGCAGAGAATCGAATTTCGGTTTTCTGACAATGATCTTTAAAAGAAAGAAGACGCCAGCAATTTCTGTTTGACTATTGTAAATCTTGGCTCAACAAGTGTCGATCAGTTTATCGTTCCAGCCCGAAACATCGTTTGATATCATGATCAAGATCAATTCTCGATAAAAGTTAAATTCGTGCTACTTGTACTTCATTCCAAACTTAACACATTGTGTCTGTGTTCACTCTCAAAATTGAGTGTGCTGATGATTCATCGTCAAAGACACAACATTTGCATACTTTACATCAGATGTTCTCTGATCAACAAAGAGAAATTTTCTTCGATCAAAAATATTCATTGTCTACAAAAGAATTCATCAACTATTTAATTCCATAGCTGTATTTTACGGTAATATCAAAACAACTTTTCAGTAATTCAGAATTCTGAAACATGATCAATGGATGCAATAAATGAACAGGCGGGATGGAAGAACAATCTCTCGGAAGATATATTTACTTGTCTAAAGCCTTTAACATACAGGTCATTGAACTAATCTCTGGCAGAAATATACTGAGAAATGAATTTTCACCCATCAATGATAGATTCATCGATTGTTGTTTTTATTTCGTTGTATTTCTTCTCATTCATTTTAAAAAAACATATCCATCGTGTTCCTCTTAATTCCTATTAAATACTCGTTTCTGATATTATCTCAAAATGTTCATCATATGAATATTCAAACTGCAGATAATCTCATTGTGCTGAAGTCATATTAAAGTAGAGAAACTAATGTTGTCAAAGATTTATCTGAAGGTTTTCAAGAGTCTTACAGTTGTCTTGCTGCATTTTATCTCAAAGTTGAACCGATTTTTCAAACTATTTTGTTTATTGCATGAAACTCATAAGATATTGAATATCATGGGATAATATTTTTTCGTGCCTTTCAAAGAGAAAATTGATGAAATTAATTTGTTTTGCGATACAGATTAAAAAGAATTCTGATGTTTTGCTATTATCTCTTGAAGTGATTATCTTTAGTTAATCTCACATCCGAATCGAACTCAACGATAAAAAAGTTGTGCAAAATCTTTTATGATAAACCTAATCTTTGACATGATGGTTATTTTTATTTGATTAAAAATCAAGTCCTTTCTTTTCAGTCATATCAATGGAATGTCATTTTAATAAAAGGCATTGTGAAAATTCGAATATTTTAATGTCGTAAATTACTGTTCTTCTATTTTTGAGGAACAAGAAGATTCTATTAAAACACCTTTGATAATTTTTATAAATCGACATTTCTTCTATTATTTTATAATAATTTCTCTGTTAATAATGAAAGTTGCAGAAGAAAAAGTTTTTGCGCTCAAAATTTCAGAGTAAAATTGTTTAGCGTGAGAAATTCTTCTATCGGATGTGATGATAATAGTTGAATTATATAGAAAATTGATATTTTTCCTGTATAATAAATGATTCAATAGTATCGTTTTATTCATGTTTTTGATGACACTTAATATGAATTGTAAAGAATCTCTAAACTTTTTCAAAGAACAGACTTTTGTATTCATCGTCGATGGAATTTACTTTTTTTAACATAATTTTTTTTTAATACACTTGTTTTTCTATACCATAGAAAATAATTCCAATGTTGATGTAATGAGATTCACAGTGTATTTATTTTTTAACGTTTTTCAAGAACTACACTGTACAATACTCAATCGAGATATTTAAATTTTATCTTCATTTTTTTAAAGATTTTTTTCTGAATTCTAAATTAAAACTTAACTATCGTCAATCTTTCATAAACATCATGGAAAAGATTTATCTGTTTTTGTATTCATTCTTCTAGAAATATTGGATTGTGAATAGATTTTTTTTCTTCAATATATCTCTATGATTAAAATGTTTTCAAACGAAGGAAAATCATTCTAATCTATGAAAATTCTCGAGAATAATTCGTTTTTTAAAATTGATTAGACTTTCGAAAATAATTTCTATTTGTTAAATTCAACGAAGAAATTAGTTTATTCAGGTTTTAGTTGAAATATTCATAAATTGAAGTTTAATGATTTTAAATGAATAAAAGTTAATGTTCTTCCGATTGTCCAAAGTGAGATTTTTACGATCGAAAATAATTAGAATAAGTGAAATTCTTGAACAAATAGAATATCTTGAAAATCTCTTGATTCTCATTGAAGTTTTATTAATTAAATGACTCGAATTTCTGAAATGTCAAAAGTCCCAAAATGAATGAAAAACTGTTCTTCTCTAGACGATATGAAGATCAATTTTCTAGTCAATCTTTAGTAGAGAATAAATAGGAACGTTTGCTTAACATGGAATCAAAATGATTATTCTATGTCGTTTCATAGAAAATGATTTCTATTAAAATTGACAATAAAGTTTCACAAAGTTAAATATATTTTTATTGTCGATGAAAATCTGATTAATTGTGTCAAAATGATAAGTTTAGAGTAATATTTTGTTCAATTTTCTCGAAGTAACTCTAATCTATGAATGAATCAATTTAGATTGATTAATGAAAAGAAAAAAGTGAAATTTAATGACGAAAAATACTTGATTGATTTATTCAAGAACTTCTTTTCTGCTATATCTTTAGTTCAATATACTCACAGTTTTGTTCTTGTTCTTGAATGTAGATAAGACGATTCCAATCAATTTGATCATTATCAATAATGATTATTTTATTTGTATCTTTTCGAATAAATTGTTGAAGTTTTTGCTGTATTTCATTGATTTTCTGTCTAAGTCGATCAATATCATATTCAACAAAATTTTCTTCTTCTCGAAGACAACGAATTTCTTTTGTTATTGGTTCAACTTGTTTTATTATTATTATTCTTTCTTTCTCGATTAATTCGATAAGTTCATTTTGAGCTTTTTCTGCTGCTTTTTTTACTTTATTGATTGTTGTAGTTTTCCATTGTTCAATTTGATCAAAAAGATCCAATGATAAATAATTTGATTTTTCTAATTTTTGTATTTGATCAAGAAGTTCATCATGAGATCTAACTATTTCATTGTCAAATTTTATTGATAATTGTTGTTCATGTTCTTTGAAATCCTTTCGACAAAAGTGTCTTTTACATCCGGTACAAAAGAATTTAGCTGAAGGTTTATTACAGATTGAACATAATTGTGATTCATCTCCTGTTGCCATCTCTTTTAGAAGAAAATTGCTTGAATTATACGATTTACTATGTGAATATCTCAATCTAAAATGATTTCATATGATTATATATAGAAAAATAGTTAGATGATTTACTCAATATTCTTTCTTTATGATTTGAGTCAAATTTTATTCAATTGTCTTAAGTATGACTTAGTCTATATGTAATAAAAGCTTAGGAACAACAATATATCAAGTTTGAATGGATTCCTATGTTTATTACTTAGTAATTATGAAAATCCTGATCGAATTCAATAATCTTGAATAGTAAATAGAGTCTTTTTGAGAACGAATAGATTCTTTTGAAATGAATCGACTTATGTCGATAGAAGTTAGAGTTCGATGAAAATATATCCGAGCTCATCATTCAAATTTTTCTATGAAGGATAATGATATTTTTAATAACTGACAACTCATTTTCGTTTAGTGAAAAATGTATATCGGGTGTTCCAAAAGTTTTGCAACATTTTGTATTTTGCATTTATCTCGACTTGAGAATACGATAAAATCTTGATTTTTTTCTTAAAAGATGCACCATGAAAAGCTCTACAAAAACTGTATAAAGAAATCTCTATTTACTGGTCCTGATGGTTTTCGAGATGATTTAAAGTGAAGATATGCGTGACGTTGTTACCGGATGTTATAAGTTTTTTTATTTCGTCTATATCTCGACTTGAGAAAATGATACAATCTTGATTATTTTTTTAAAAGATGCGCCGTGAAAAGTTCTACACAATCTGTATGAACAAATCCCTATTGCAAAACGAAAAAGGTCTTTCAAACATTTTCCCAATGCTCAATACGGTGGGACATAGCGCCACCATGTAGTTTGTTCGTATTAAGCATCGGAAAACTATCAGAACCAGTTAATAGAGATTTCTTTATACAGATTTTGTAGAGCTTTTCACGGCGCATCTTTTAAGAAAAACATCAAGATTTTATCATTTTCTCAAGTCGAGATAAATGCAAAATACAAAATGTTGCAAAACTTTTGGAACACCCGATATAACCGATATTTTGAAAAATTCATAAAAGTATCAGTCGTACGAGACAAAAATCGAAAATCATTGAAAATGTATGATGTAAGGATTTTTTCAGTGGCACATGTTTTTTTTTTTTTGTTCCTTTCGATATCAAAAAGACTTTTGATAACTTTCTCATATGTTTTTATTAAGGATAATGATAT